ATGACTAAAATGTAAATGTAAGCTCATCAGCTGTGGGGCAACAATTACTAGCATAGGCCTACTGGTATTTTGGTATGTAACAATTGCTTGAAATTGATCATTTACTGATGAAGCTTTCATTTGGAATTTGTTTAAAATGAATCATTACTGTAGCAAAGACGCACCATAGGTGAGGCTCTTCACTTGCACTCTACAAACTCCAGCCATTGGAGAGTGCTTTTTTTCTCTTGTTGAAATGTTTGCTCTTGCTTTCACATGTTAAATTCATAGGCCCTATGTGGTAAATCTATATTCCATCTAATATTAAAATAGTTGCTAGCGTTTCATCATTCCATCCCCGTACCATTTATTGCAACATGTAGACATTACTGTTTTTCATGTTTGATAGGCCTACGAGACATTTTAATTTAGCCAACCATTTCGTACCCTCTGAGTGGGTGCGATGTTTATTGTGGACATGAACGTTCACAAGATTCATGGGGTAGAAGTTCTGTTTATTCAATGTATGGTTTCCTTTGTTCATATTTCCTGGTTATGTTGGAGTTCCGTGCCTCTGTCATTCTGGTTGTGCATAATAGGAGCATGCGCGCCTCAGTGTGCGTAGAAATAGGCTACATGGCCTGCACTCCACGCTTTGGAATCAGAACATTGAATAAGAGAAAATGTATTGTTCCATGTATGCATGGTGTTGAGATGTCATTAATAATCACTAAGTCTGATTAAGACGAATGTAACAATGGATGTGGAACTTGCCTTTTACATTATAGGACCAGTTTATTAGTTGTAATTGCCAATTGGGTAATTGTATGGTCCTGGGGACCAAGTGCTTATATTATGTAGGCCTACCTGTTTGAGCTCCTGTTAGACCAATTTGGTTTCTCAAGGGGAGGCTGTACAGTCTTGCCCTCTACCTGTGTCCATTCAGATAGGATGGTTAAGCCTGATACAGAGGCTATTTCTTTTGGGCTAATGCCTGTGTATATTTGGTAAATCTACTTGTATATTCGTATGATATGGCGCTTTCACCATTTGATCACCAAGACCTGTAAATAAATCTACACTCTGAGCACATCAACCTTCCTTGCCTTCTGCTGATTTCATGCCCTTATGACTGCTACAAGGTCCCTATTTTACAATTACAAAGGCTTATCAAAATGTGTTGTAGACAAAATAATGAAAAGGGCTGTCTCAATAAATAGACAATGATTTGTAGTTGAACAAGTCGTTGCATGTATAGATTTTATTTTTTTACTAGACTTGATTTAGACTCGACTTGATTTGCTCATAGAATGCACGACTTGAACTTGACTCGAGTCTTGACCCGTTCTACTTGGGACTCGACTTGAGACTCGGACCTTGTGACTTGAGACTTGCTAGTGACTCGAATAATAGTGACTTGGTCCCACCTCTGCCACTGTCAGGCTCAGATGGTTACAGGTCAGGTGAACAGAACCCCTATCTCATTTCCATAATCTTGATAATGAGTAGCCTACTCTTGATTTATACTTTATCATTATAGAATAGCTTGGACATACAGTATACATGGACATTTCTGACATGGTTCTCAGGTTGACCAGGCCAAAGCTCATAGTGATCATAAGTTATTGTCCTCATGGATAATTGTTAGATGGATATAGAAGGACAGGTTACTCCAGGAATGATTTGCTTCTCTCAGGTTGTGAAAACAACATCCAGTAGTATCACTGTTTGATTATTTTCTGCTACCAGTGAGTGTGTGAAAATACTGCACATCCTTGTCTTGTTTTTTTTGTAAAGGATTACTGATCTTTTGCTTGTCTGCCATGGACATGCCAGGATGGATAGGAATGACCTGGATGCTGATTGAGAGTGAATGTTTTAATCCATAACACAGGGCTATCAGGGCAATGAGGCAGAGCATGAAGTAAAAAGGAATGCACATGGCTGGTATTAATCCCTATTTGTCTCGAGCCCCTACCCTGCCGTACTCTCTGCCTGGACACCAAACTCCTGAAGGGGAACAATCTAATCTACGCTTCAGAGTGGTGACAATGGGTACAGATGGAAGATTGAATGAATGTTTGTCAGAACATTTGATGTTTATTTTTTTAACCTTTATCAGAATCCTTTTATACTCCATGGCTGGTTCAGGCTCTCATACGTGGACCTCTGGACTGAACACCTACAATCATTAACCAGCCACCTGCCGGCATCATTAATCAGACAGAGACACACATACTGCCAAATATAAACACAATGGAATGCTGAGTAGAGGTCTTCACAGGTCCAAAAAGTTGGACCTGTTCAGAAATGGATCCGTGGGTTTCAAAAGAATTTTCAAAAGAATGGAGGCCTGTTGCGAGTGGACCCGAGGACAGTCAGACCCGTTCCGAAAAGGCACGTGGAAAAACAGACCCAAACAGACCAGTGCTGGTTCGGGTCTGAGTGATCCATTCAGATCCAAGAGTAGAGAGAGAGAAACAAACCTCCGACTGAGCGCTGCCAGTGCCATAAATAAACGAGCGATAGGCCTATTGGCCAAATGATCCACAGTTACATGCCCTTAAAATCTGCCTCAAACAAATTACAAACAAAATATTGGTTGTGTTTCGATGTGTAGCATATTCAAAATTTCACGGGTCAGCTGTCGGAGATTTGAGTGTTAAATGCATCAGGGCATTACATGCATATACAGTGCCTTCAAAAAGTATTCACACTCCTTGACTTTTTCCACATTTTGTTGTGTTACAGCCTGAATTTAAAATGGGTTAAATTGAGATTTGTTGTCACTGGCCTACACACAATACACCAAAGTGGAGTTATGTTTTTAATTTTTTCCCTCCAAAATAATAAAAAATTAAATGCTGAAAAGTCTTGAGTCAAATTATTCAACCCCTTTGTTATGGAGCCTAAATAAGTTGAGGAGTAAAAATATGCTTAACAAGTCACAAAATAAGTTGCATAGACTCAATCTGTGTGCAATGATAGTGTTTAACATGATTTTTGAATGACTACCTCATCTCTGTACCCCAGACATCAAATTATCTGTAAGGTCCCTCAGTTGAGCAGTGAATTTCAAACACAGATTCAACCACAAAGACCAGGGAGGTTTTGCAATGCCTCGCAAAGAAGGACACGTATTGGTAGATGGCAACAAAAAAAAAGCAGACATTGAATATCCTTTTGAGCATGGTGAAGTTATTAGTTACACTTTGGATGGTGTTTCAATACACCCAGGCACTACAAAGATACAGGTGTCCTTCCTAACTCAGGTGCCGGAAAGGAAGGAATCCGCTCAGGGATTTCACCATGAGACCAATGGTGACCTTAAAACAGTTAGTTTAATGGCTGTGATAGGAGAAAACTGAGGATGGATCAACAACATTGTAGTTACTCCACAATACTAACCTAATTGACAGAGTTAAAAGAAGGAAGCCTGTACAGAATATTCCAAAACATGCATTCTGTTTGTAACAAGGCACTAAATTAATACTGCAAAAAATTTACCTATGATGAAAATTACAGGTCTTTCTCATCTTTTTAAGTGGGAGAACTTGCACAATTGGTGGCTGACTAAATACTTTTTTCCCCCACTGTATGAGGGTGCAGTGAGATACCCGGTGGGTTGGACGATACTTATCTCGTCAATCATCTTAAAAAACATATACTTAAACTGGAAATCAACCAATCTGTCATTCACGCAATGGAAAGGTAAAATGCTTTATTATCTAAAAATTGAAAGTGCGTGGGCTACGGAGAGAAACAAAATGGTACAGTTTGAGGCCATGTGGTGTAAAGTGATGCAGACACTGGAGATGGGGAGGGTGCTAGTGGGTCTGGGCAGGTGTGATGTAGTTGATGTTTGTATGATGTCGTGTGGATGTTTTGTATTGTTTATAAAATATCAAATCAAATTGTACATTTAAAAAAACAAAATACAATGAAAACTTGTCTCCGGACATTCCTCTTCGTTTTCTTTTCACTATACTCTTTCTCCTCTTACTTTCGTTTTAATTCAATTAAAATGGCCTCCATCTTCTCAATCAACAGTAGCCAAGGATTCTTTCTCTCTCTCTCTCTCCCTCGTAAGCAGCAGGCACAGGTGAGGTGAGCAGCCGGAACCAGTTTCAGCTGGACATAAGCTATACGTTTTATTGAGTTGCAAATGGCTGACACAGAAAACAAGCTTGCGCAGTTCTCATCACCTCACACACACTACATTAACAGAGGACGAGTCCAATCGGTTCCAGTAGGCAATTTTAATTGCACATACCTGAGACCCATGAAAATTATCAGACCCAACCCAGATCCGAGACAAAAGTCAGAATTTAGGACCCGAACCTGCTCGGGTCCCAGGTCGAATCTCAGAATTTCGTGTCTGTTGGACCCGTGAAGACCTAATGCTGAGTGAATCAATACAGGGCCACTCCACCTGATTTCTAATTAGAATATTTGTTATAGTTTATATGTTCATTCAGTTTGCTTTGTGTTTGACTCGGGTGTGATTTAGAACTCTAACCCAGCTCATTGTGGTGATTGGTCCACACTGGACTGCACAAAGTACTGTAGGAGAGGAGACACGCTTGAAGGGTTTGACTGAGTACAGGTTGAAGAATTTAAGGGAGGGAGGGAGGGTACACCTAGTACTGAGCTACACTACAGCTCCAGGGATTTGAAAAGTGTAGTCAGTGAACAACTTGGCTATTGGAAGTCAAGGCTATGTTTACTGAAGATAGACTGTAGTGCTGTGTTTACTGAAGGGAGCGGGCCAAGTTTAGACTGAAGATATGTAAACAGACACGGTTGTTGCAAAAACCACTATCAACCTTCTCATGGTCATGTGCACACATGATATTACTGCACTGTCGGTGCTAGAAGCACAAGCATTTCGCTACACCCACAATAACATCTGCTAAACACGTGTATGTGACAAAGAAAATGTGATTTGATTTGAAGCTGTGAAATAAATATGTCTGTTTTTAATAGTGTGCTCTAAAAGTTCTGTGAGGACTGCTCTCAGGGTTATTGTGTATATAGTGAATACTGTAGTGTATAACTGTGCTCACGTGTCTCATTGGGTCCACTCTGTGTCAGGTGTGCTGCGAGTCGGTGGGATGGAGGTTTTCACGTCCAATGAGGTGGAGGCGGTGAACGGGACAGAAGTGAGACTGAAGTGCACCTTTAAGTCCAAACACCCAGTGTCCCACTCCTCTGTGGCTGTCTCCTGGAACTTCCGTCCCCTTGGCCAGGGAGCTGAGGAGTCGGTGGGTGACCTTTCCACAATGGGAGCAGAACTAACAATTGTCATACAGCGAATGTGTCTGAATTAGGAGGGAGACTGGGTTAGCATCGTAAACCAGCTTGACTACTGGATAGACATGGGACATGGAGGCTTTGTTGAGCAGAGTATTACGTAAAACATCAACATTTTAGAGCAGAGCATAATTGTAAGTGTGTGTGTCAGGTGTTTTACTACCAGGAGACGGCGTACCCCCCTACAGAGGGGCGGTTTAAGGGCCATGCGACCTGGTCAGGGGACATCCTGAGACAGGACGCCTCCATCAGCCTGCATGAAGTCCCCTTCACCTTCAACGGCACCTACACCTGCCAGGTCCGCAACCTGCCCGACGTCCACGGCATCAATGGAGAGGTCACCCTCAGGGTTGTCCAGAAAGGTAAGTCAGTCAATCACTTCACTCACTCACTCACTCACACTGGTGTGTTGCATAGAAACCTTAGCAAGGACTAATGTATTGTTGTGTGTGTGTGCGTGTGTGTGCTGGCTGTGCTGCTCCTTCCAGTCTCCATCTCTGAGATAGGCATCCTGGCTGCAGCCATCGGGGGAACCATCGCCATAGTCCTGGTGCTGCTGGGTCTCTTCATGGTGTTCAAGTACTGCAACCGCAACCGCCATGCCAACACAGACATGGAGCTGCAGGGGAGGAAACTGCAGGAAACCAGAGAGCTACAGGCCAGGGTCCTACAGGAGAGAGAGTTGCAGGCCAACATCCTACAGGAGAAAGCACTGAAGGCCAGTGAGGAGTGTAAGGACCCTACAGTGTGGTGATGGGTCAGGGGTCAGGGGCGTGTCCCCTCCCTACCTCTGCTGACTGGTGTGGGGAGGTGTTCTGTCTGGACGGACTGGTCTCTGACTGGAGGGGCTGGCCAGTCCAGGACCACTGTTTGGGAGGGACTAATGCATTCTTTTGGTCGGTGTCCTGCTTTTTTCTACACTCCACTCATCCCTCCCTCAATATGAGCCTTGCAGACTGAATTGGCTATTGTAGTTGAACTTACCCCGAGTATTAGTGATCTCTTTACATTCCACTAGTTTTAATGTCAGGTACTGTTTTATGCACTTAATGTTTTTTACAGACAACTATGTGATAGGGTTGGGCGGTATCCAGATTTCCATATCTTCGTACCGTGCCTGTGCCATCCCAGGATATACTGTATTACCCTATTACCGGTAGTGCACACAATGTAAAAAAAGCCCCAAAAACATCACTTACCAGAATGCTAACAAAATGCTAAAAAGTACTAAGGAATCCCCATAGCGAATGCTAGGTAAATGCTAACGAACGCATTTAAACATTTACTACTAAGACAGACAACCCAGCTCCTAAAGTTATGCAAGTATCTCAAAACGCAGTTTGCAGCACGCACAAAACAAATATTAGACAGCAGGGATCTTATTCCAGGAGGGAATAGTCTCTGCTGCTGTTACCAAGAAGGTTGATCTTGCAAGCTAAGGTTAGCCACTTAGTTGGCATTAGCAAGTTAGCAGAACCCAGCTGGAGATAACTTATTTGGCACATCTTAGATAGTTAATTTAATAGTTATAAGATGTATAGCTGGCAAAAATAGCTGTAACTTCATCACCTCACTTAAATTGCGCTGCAGGAGTGACTCACCTCACGAAGCTCCCATTTTGCTCATTGTGCTTCTTTGTAAACAAACACACTTGACTGGCTCAAACAGCTGTTTTCAAATCAAATCAAATTTTATTGGTCACATGCGCCGAATACAACAGGTGCAGACATTACAGTGAAATGCTTACTTACAGCCCTTAACCAACAGTGCATTTATTTTTAACAAAAAAAGTAAAAATAAAACAACAACAAAGAAAGTGTTGAGGAAAAAAAAGAGCAGAAGTAAAATAAAGTGACAGTAGGGAGGCTATATATACAGGGGGGTACCGTTGCAGAGTCAATGTGCGGGGGCACCGGCTAGTTGAGGTAGTTGAGGTAATATGTACATGTGGGTAGAGTTAAAGTGACTATGCATAATTAATTAACAGAGTAGCAGCAGCGTAAAAAGGATGGGGTGGGGGGGCAGTGCAAATAGTCCGGGTAGCCATGATTAGCTGTTCAGGAGTCTTATGGCTTGGGGTTAGAAGCTATTGAGAAGTCTTTTGGACCTAGACTTGGCACTCCGGTACCGCTTGCCGTGCGGTAGCAGAGAGAACAGTCTATGACTAGGGTGGCTGGAGTCTTTGACAATTTTGAGGGCCTTCCTCTGACACCGCCTGGTATAGAGGTCCTGGATGGCAGGAAGCTTGGCCCCAGTGATGTACTGGGCCGTACGCACTACCCTCTGTAGTGCCTTGCGGTCGGAGGCCAAGCAGTTGCCATACCAGGCGGTGATGCAACCAGTCAGGATGCTCTCGATGGTGCAGCTGTAGAATTTTTTGAGGATCTGAGGACCCATGCCAAATCTTTTCGGTCTCCTGAGGGGGAATAGGCTTTGTCGTGCCCTCTTCACGACTGTCTTGGTGTGTTTGGACCATGATAGTTCGTTGGTGATGTGGACACCAAGGAACTTGAAGCTCTCAACCTGTTCCACTACAGCCCCGTCGATGAGAATGGGGGCGTGCTCAGTCCTCTTTTTTTTCCTGTAGTCCACAATCATCTCCTTTGTCTTGGTCACGTTGAGGGAGAGGTTGTTGTCCTGGCACCACACGGCCAGGTCTCTGACCTCCTCCCTATAGGCTGTCTCATCGTTGTCGGTGATCAGGCCTACCACTGTTGTGTAGTCGGCAAACTTAATGATGGTGTTGGAGTCGTGCCTGGCCATGCAGTCATGGGTGAACAGAGAGTACAGGAGGGGACTGAGCACGCACCCCTGAGCACGCCCCCGTGTTGAGGATCAGTGTGGCAGATGTGTTGTTACCTACCCTTACCACCTGGGGTCGGCCCGTCAGGAAGTCCAGGATCCAGTTGCAGAGGGAGGTGTTTAGTCCCAGGATCCTTAGCTTAGTGATGAGCTTAGAGGGCACTATGGTGTTGAATGCTGAGCTGTAGTCAATGAATAGCATTCTCACGTAGGTGTTCCTCTTGTCCAGGTGGGAAAGGGCAGTGTGGAGTGCAATAGAGATTGCATCATCTGTGGATATGTTGGGGCGGTATGCAAATTGGAGTGGGTCTAGGGTTTCTGGGATAATGCTGTTGATGTGAGCCATGACCAGCCTTTCAAAGCACTTCATGGCTACAGAAGTGCACTTCATGTTTTGGGAACTAGTACTGGTAAGCTTCATAATGAAAAATTATCTAACAGGCGAAGTGATTAACGCGATCTGCTTTATGTATTACCTAGTGCACAAGTTGACTGCAGGTATTTATTTAAAAAGTACTAATATTCAAATTTATAAAAACAATAAACGGTATTGACGGTATTGGAAAATCATACTGATGGTATTTCGAAATACCCTGGGATACCGTATATACGGTATACCGCCAAATCCTAATATGTGATTGTATTTTGACTATGTAGTATGATGACTACTCTTATTAGATATGGCTGAAATGACACCAGCAGCAGTCTCTTGGTGTGGTGGCGTCCAACTAGCAGATTGTGGCTCAAACTCTTTGCTCCAGTATTCATTACATTTGGTTTGGTAGCTATTTGTTCTAAATTCATTTACAGAATTATTTTAACAGTTGAATAATCAACATTATAATTGAGCTAATGGCCCATACACAGGTATTGACATTATTCCCAAATGAATGTATCTGGCAGCAGATTTGTGAGTGTGTTCTGTGGTTATGATCAAGGTCCCGTGTTGAATTGATTCAGTGAAACCCTTTTGTTAAACCTGTGGGATCTGGGGGTGGCTACGGTAAGGGCTAGTGCTGGTGGAAGCCCTATATCTAGGGGTGGCTAAGCTCAATGTAAGGGAAAGGGCAGTAGGGCTGGTGGAAGCTTTCCTGGGCCAGGAGCTTTCAGTGACTATCTGCCATTTTGTTTTTCTGGCCAACGCACTCCTGCTTCCTGCAACAATGACAACATAAATGACTGCCTATTACTTCTGGACATAAAAAGGAACTGTCATATACCTTTGAATGCAGAAGAAGAACCCCACGATTCCAAGAAGCCTGTTTTCCATGGGTTCTGTAGTTTTTGTGAACTGATGTGCCCAACGTGTCCATTGAAGGAAGCAGCTCCATCTGTCTCTTTCTGGGTCCACGCTGAGGATCATGGGTGTTGTGGTCTCAAAGGTTTCTCCCTCTTTCTTACTCTGCCTTAAACTCAGTTTTTCACAATTCCTGACATTTAATCCTAGTAGAAATTCCCTGTCTTAGGTCAGTTAGGATCACAACTTTATTTTAAGAATATGAAATGTCAGAATAATAGTAGAGTGATTTATTTCAGCTTTTATTTCTTTCATCACATTCCCAGTGGGTCAGAAGTTTACATACACTCAATTAGTATTTGGTAGCATTGCCTTTTAAATTGTTTAATTGGGTCAAACGTTTCGGGTAGCCTTCTACAAGCTTCCCACAATAAGTTGGTTGAATTTTGGCCCATTCCTCCTGACAGAGCTGCTGTAACTGAGTCAGGTTTGTAGGCCTCCTTGCTCGCACACACTTTTTCAGTTCTGCCCACACATTTTCTATAGGATTGAGGTCAGGGCTTTGTGATGGCCACTCCAATACCTTGACTTTGTTGTCCTTAAGCCATTTTTCCACAACTTTGGAAGTATGCTTGGGGTCATTGTCCATTTGGAAGACCCATTTGCGACCAAGCTTTAACTTCCTGACTGATGTCTTGAGATGTTGTTCCAATATATCCAAATAATTTTCCTTCCTCATGATGCCATCTATTTTGTGAAGTGCACCAGTCCCTCCTGCAGCAAATCACCCCCACAGCATGATGCTGCCTCCCCCGTGCTTCACGGTTGGGATGGTGTTCTTTGGCTTGCAAGCACCCACTTTTTCCTACAAACATAACGATGGTCATTATGGCCAAACAGTTCTATTTTTGTTTAATCAGATCAGACATTTCTCCAAAAAGTACGATCTTTGTCCCCATGTGCAGTTGCAAACTGTAGTCTGGCTTTTTTATGGCGGTTTTGGAGCAGTGGCTTCTTCCTTGCTGAGCGGCCTTTCAGGTTATGTCGATATAGGACTCGTTTTACTGTGGATATAGATACTTTTGTACCTGTTTCCTCCAGCATCTTCACAAGGTCCTTTTGCTGTTGTTCTGGGATTGATTTGGACTTCTCGCACCAAAGTACGTTCATCTCTAGGAACGCGTCTCCTTCCTGAGCGGTATGAAGGCAGCGTGGTCCCATGGTGTTTATACTTGCGTACTATTGTTTGTACAGATGAAATTGGTACCTTCAGACGTTTGGAAATTGCTCCCAAGCAGTGGCGGCTTCTGAAAAAATTCTCAGGAGGGGCAATTTTTCTGATGATTTAGGTGACCTACACACATTTTAAAAAAGATATGTCCAGCAACAACATGAAGACAGGGGCAGCATATAAGTCAATACCAGAAGCATTTATTGACTGATCTGGGGAGATGGATTCCAGTTTCTGTGACAGATTATAAATAATCTCTGATGCCTTTGTTATATTAGCTTTTGGTTGAATGTACTGTCGTAGTAAATATATAATGTTATAGCTTGGTCTGACTAAAATCTTGTGCATGACCCATTTTGTGTTGGGCGTTTGTTTTCAATCAATGCTGTTCCTATCCTATAACAATGGACAAAAGAGTCCTATCTTGTCAGCCTTGTCAGCAGGTGGCCAAGGACAACACCCACGCCATAGGTCTCTCAGTTCT